CAGGAAACGAAGAACCGTTTGCCGGTGAACACTGGACTTTGGACGATGCAAGCCCAATAAGTGCCGTAGACAGATGGCTTAGCTTGATGAAGACACCAAAGGAGTATGCTGTTTCGCCGTTTAAGGCTGGTCCTCCGGAAACTCGTTTAAGCGAGCTGTCGATGCGGTTCCAGATTCCTGGGTTCGTCCCATCCTAAGATGATCAGGCGCTGACAAACTCTGAACAAGGTAGGGCAAGCTTTTGAGAAGGCGGCGGCCGTGGCTCTTCAAGTCTGCGCAGCCACTGAATCATCAAAGAATGTCGATGGCACCACCTTGCGCTTCTCCACGCATCATAAGTACGCCATTTTGCCTCCGGTTCCTTTATCTTCGGTTGATCTGAGCGTCAACGTCTTCTGCCTCCCGAGAGACACATCGACAATGAGGCGGAGGATCCTGCCTCGATGCTGAAGGTTGGCATTTCGCAAAAAGTATTGACAAAGAAAGTCGCTGGTGATCGAGAAGCGACATTCCAGTCACAAGTCGTAGCTGCGCAATCATCCTCATTCTGTGTCTCGTAAGGCCCATTGAGGGCAGTTTCGCTTGTGGCTTGAGGCTGGGTGATATCGCCATGTCCATATCGATGTGCAGTCTCTTTCATCGGACGCCGTAGAATCTAAAGACCACCATGCGGCGAGAAGACTGCCCCGGAGCAGTTTTCTAGAGACGAGCTCCGGACAGAGTGGGTCACATTCTCGGGTGCCGACGGGGCCTCACGGTATCGGACTCCCGGGTCTCTGCTTGCGGCCAGAGCGGTTGACCCAAAACAGGCAATGAGAAGAAGCACGGTCTTCAGACATTTTTCTATGCGATGTGTCAGTCAGTATGACGTTACCCGTCACCAGCAAAATCAAGATAGCTGTGAGATGCTGCAATCGAAATAAGAGACCAAGTCAAGTAAGTGTCTTTCTCACAACGCAAAAGTCAGCCCGGTGAATCCATGGGCCGCGCAATCCAGAACATCGATGAGCAAAAAGAGAGCGTTCCCAGGTGGGGTTTAACCACTGAATCTCCCCGAGGTGGGCTCGAACCACCAACCTCCAGATTAACAGTCTGACGCGCTAGCCAATTGTGCCATCGGGGATGAGCTCGAATGAGCTGATTGGGATATGCTTGACAATCCAGCTCGGGTTGGGGTTTAAGAAGGCTACGTGTGATGAAGACCGCTCGGTTGTGCGAGTTTCAAACCCTAGCTGGCGGAGTGGCAGGTTTTTGTAAAGCAGTGACAGTCGTGATTGGCGGTGCAGACAAGAATTGACCCACGCTGATGTGTCATTGTGTGGCCCGGCCTCAGTCATTGTCTGTGCTGCATTGTGTTAGTTCGTGGGGACCTGGAGGACTCGGTCTGGCTTCAAAGCAATGCACACCTCTTCTCAGTAAATAAAGGTTGCCAGTCCGTCCATCAGGGATCAACCGTCAACCTGGCAAAGTTGCGGGAAACTCGCAATTTCAGGAGAGAAAGGAATTGTTGAGCTGCTCATTCTCATTAGCCATGTCTCACTTCCCCTGAGCTCGTGCTTATAGGCAGTAATTCTGCCCAAGTGGCGCTTGCTGAGACTGCTCAAGCTGACAGCCAAAGTGGTGAGTTTACGAGCACATTTCATGGCTGAAAACTGGCAGATAACAATGGCCTGTTTCCTCGGATGCAAATCTTTCCTCGCCGTGCGCGACAAAGGCTGGCCGGCACTCAACGTTCAGCCGACTCAGGCACTAGGAACGGGCGGAAGAGATGGTCCACGGCAAACCGTGGTCCTTGGGCTCCTTCGCGCGTCTTCATCACCTCATCAATTGGACTCCCCCGCCGATAGTCTGAAGCTAAATGTAACACATCACGACGGCAAAGTATGATCCGCGGCTTGGCGGCCAACGAGGAGCGCTCTCTGCGCACGGAGGTCTGCAACGAGCCTGGCTTTCAGTCAACCAGGCACAGCAGCCCTAGGGCGTGGATGAAAAGCCCCAAACATGGCTACAGTCACATGGCTGCAGTCTGTGGTGAGGAAAACCATGATAGTGATGACCAGGAGACCTCAGCTTTTGTAACTTGAAACCGTTTGTTGACGTTCAGCTTGGCGATGGGCTGTCGACGGGCAATTGTTTCGAAGACGTACCGAGATCAGACATTGTCGACTCACTGCACTTGAATTCCATTCGGAGTATGGAGATACTATATACACTTAAGCAATATGAAGACTCGTTTCAGGATCCGCTTGAACACGTTCTCTCCATATCGACACTGCAGTTGGCCCTCTCGCATCTCCCCAAAGGTTGTGGAACATGGACTCCTCGTAATCAAGATAATCGTTTCCGTGCCATGATTCCCCGGTTCCTGCAGGGCCTCTAACCTTAACCGCACAAAACCTCAACAGCTCCTTGATGCGCCTGGTAAAAGAGTCTCTCCCAACCGTCCTCATCGGTGGAAGCTCGGCGGGCGGCACGCCGCGGTACCAGCTGGCCTTCTCCTGAGACGGCAGACTCAGCAAGAACCCTCCGTGGCGACGATGACATCCGGTCTTCTCAATCCACTCTAGAATTTCTGGTGCGGAGAACCGCGTCATTCCCAGGATGGTCAGGTTTTTAAGATTCTCGAAAAGCTCCAGGGCTCTCAAGACCCAAGCGGGCTGTTCTACTCCGCTTTGAACGAAGGAAAGGAATTCAAGATTAGGCTGACAGCATGCCAGTGTTTGAAGCTGTATATAATAGAGCGAGAAGGATGTGTGGAGCCTCAAGTCGCGCAGGTCCTTCATGGAACATACTGCGTCCATGACTAGCTTGCGGCATCGGAGATCCCTAGGAGGAGGATCAGTCGACCTTTCCGCTATGAAGAGATGTTTAAGATCGCTCTGTGTTTTAAGTGCATGGTAGAATTCGGGATGGTTGCCTGTATCGTACACATGCAGCCTTTCGAGTTGGAGATGAGGGAGGGCGTCCGCGATGGCAGGAATCAAGTCCGGCAGTCGGAAGAGGTGAAGGCGCTTCAGACTTCTGCAAGACGTGATCCAATTCGCAATATGCCTACGTTTCTTTCTGGCCCAAAGCTCATACTTCTCTCGGAGCCGCCAGCTGGGAATAAAGGAGTTGGACTTCAGAGTCAGCGATGTCAGGTTCGTGAGCGGACTCAGCAGAAGCAGATCGAGAGGGGGGTTCTCGACTAAGCGGAACTCCAGACACCGTAGTTCTGTCTGCTTAGCGATGGCTCTAAACACGGGGGCCTGCGCCTCTCCAACTCCGCACTCGAAGTGGTGAAGCTGGTCTGCGTTCAAGTGAGAGAGGAACTCGCCCAGATTTTCCGAGGCCGCCGTGGCATTCGCCGCAAATGGGAACTCCAGATGCCGCAGCCTCGGAAGGCTCTTGCTAACTTGTCTTCCGGCTTCAGCAGTCAAGTCTCCGGCATAATGCATCGATAAACGCTCCAGCGCGTGACAGGAGAGAATGAGGGGGCCTCTGTCTTCCCAGCGATACATCGAGACTTCTCTTAGCATCGGGCGCCGACCAGTTTCGTTGCTGATTATAACCAATTCCTCGAGAAATCGGAAATCGGGCTGCGAAATGGGTGTTCTTTTCTCAGTCCATTGAGGGTTCTGGTCCCCAAAACGGCTCACAGACTCCAAATCCACTCTCGGAGCGAAAAGCAAATCGGCGCCGTTGAAGCGTCGGACATATGTTAGGTACGGACGTGAAGTGAGAGGCGGCGTGTTCAGAGGGCCTTCAGTAAACGTTGATGAACGACAGAGAGTTTCCCACAGTCCTTCTGAGGTATTCGTTTTGTCTGTCGGAGGAAGAAATGTCAAGCTGGAGGAGTTCAGCAATGTGCTCATTCACGGTATCACAACAAGCCGCGTGCTATTTGATTCAGGTTCGGTGATAATCAACTTACTCATAAAGTCGCTTGAGTGCCAACCACGCGTTGCCTTTACTTGTGAGGGCACAATTTGCCAAGGTCCTGTGATAGCCAAGAAAAGCAAGTTGGTCGAATACAGCCTCCCAGATATCGATGTGCACCACCGTCTTTACCGGCGCATTCAAAGTAGGTAAATGGGTCGTTAAAGACATTGCGGCTAGAAATCTTCCGGGTTTGCTGCAAAACAACTGGTATATTGGAGTATCCAAATGATGCGATTTTGAAGGAGATATTTGCGACATTTTGGCTGTGGCAGACTTCGAATATGAATTAGAGTCTTTGTCTTGTCGCCAGTGATGTGGCACTGTGTTCGTCAGCCTCCATGATAGGTGAATCCATGACCTTCTGCAAGTGAATCGAGAACGGATACGATGAAGAGTGGTGTTAGGATCGCGAAGGGTCAAGCAGTACAGGTTCGTGGAGCCGAGATACCCCTCTTTGATCCGAGTCACGAACGACGTCGAAATCAGCAGTCAAGTAATGAAAGCACGCTTGAACCTACAATTCCTCTGGTCTACACCCGATTCCGGGTTGATGTATGGCTAATAGAATTTGTTTCGTCGTTCCTGCTACAAATTTGCTGACCAGCAAGATTAGATCCAGAGAAGGTAGGTAGTTGTTTGGAACACATTGGTCTACCCTTTTGGGGACCCTAATGTCTCTTTTTGCGAAAACAATTCTTGTAGAGCCAGAAGGGTGAAAGAGAAAAGTTGTGACAGTGACCCTGATCACCAGAAACCTCTGAACCATCCAAGTGGCCTGTCCACATCTCTCCATAGGAGTTTAAGGCACGCACCTCTATGCCTAAGTGACGGTGCAAAATCTCATCGCGAAGCCTGCGCACAATGGGACAAAGGGACGTAATTTGGTGTAGTTTCACATCGAAATGTAAATTGACTGCTTGTACTTGAACTTCCATACCTCCAAATCAAGAACTATTCCTGGCAGTAATCAAAAACGTCGGTTCGGGTATCTTCAAAGCCAACAATGTATGCCGCCGAACTTGTGAAATGCGCATACAACCCAGAAATCTCCAAGATCACACGGAAGAAAGACGATAAGTCTACAAGCAATCCAGATCAAGAAACCTCCCACCTCTCCAGTTCCCCCTCCCTCCAACCGGCACCCTCGACTCTCTCTCCACCGCCTCCAGCCGCCCAAGCACCTCCCCCATCTCCCCCTGCACCTCCCTCAACCTCTCCAACACCTTGCGGCCCTCGCCCTCGCCCTTGACCTTACCCTCGCCCGAAAACGACGCGGCCAACTTCCGGCGGATCACATCCGCCTTGTCCACCTTCTGAAAGACGTTCACATCGAACCCGATCGCCCTGTACAACGGGCCCGCGAGCTTGCGGCCGTCGTCCACGATACATCCCCGCACGCCAACGTGCCCCTCGATCCGCTCGGTCGCGGCCCTGGCGCTCTTGACCAGCGCCGCCAGCTTCTTGACGTCGGACTCGATGTCTGCGGCTGCGATGGTGTTGTTTTGTTGTTGTTGTGCCGGCTTGGGGGCCGGCGCGGAGCCGAAGTCGTGGCTGAGCTTGCACGCGTGGAACGTACGCGGCGAAGCCACGGTGCCCGAGAGCGTCTTGGTTGCGTAGACTCGGAAGCGGTTCATTTTGGTTTTTTTGTTGTAGTTGTGATTGTGGTTGTTACTGTGGTGGTTGTTGTAGTTGTTGATGTAGTTGTTGATGGCATAGACTTGAAGAAACGGCGACAAGTCTTGCAGGATTTACTTACTGGTGAACGGTGTTGTTCAACTTGGAAGGGATGATATGAAGGTTGGATGTCTTTACAGAAGATTCGTTGCTGAAATCCCCCTTTTATCATTTTTTTGGGAGGATTTGGCAATCAAGGTTGATGAACTAGCCCTTGAGGAGATGCGTTAACTTTGAATAGGCCGAGGACACAATGCTGAACTCGGGGTCTCCGACATTCAAGAGGCAACAGAGGCACATGTTTCTACTTGTGTGGTTGACTGCGAGACCTGTATGAGGTACTGACGGACCAACAGGAATTAGTAATTCAAGCTTCTGCTTCATTAAGCCATCAAGTCATAGCTACAATGTGTGACAGAAGCTGAGACGTGAGCCCAGCGCTGACAGGAGGGTCTTGCCAAAGGTGTAAGAAATGTTTGTGAATATTCAAAATCGCTATCTCTTAACCCTTCCGGTCCCAAAACCTAACAAAACCGTTCCTCCTCGCTGGGCAGCTGTGCCACTCCCACAGAAAAGCAAGACATGAGCTGTCTGCCCGGGAACTGCCTATGACGCTTCCGCCCCCTCGCTTGTCTTCCTCGCCCCTGAATATCGTACATGTAGTTTGTCCAAGAAATGCGAGTGTCGGATCCCATTAGGTCTCGCCTCCGCAAACGTGTCGATCGCCTCCTGCACACCTAGTCCGCACCGCTCGACCAGGTAGCATACAATAAAGTAACCCGTGCGGTTAAATCCGTAATGGCAGTGAACACCAATGACCTGGTTTTCTCCGTTGACCGCTTCCCATCCTTCCTTCTCAGCTCTCTTCTTCTGCTCTTCCCTCAACTTGTCCACAAGCGCCACAAAATGCGCAACTTCTCCCTCACTGGGCGGAACCTTGGACACCGTGGCGAACTTGTGGTAGCGTACGCCGCCCTTCTCCATGCTTCTAGGGTCGTAGACAGGCTGGTCGTGACTGATGTCAACAACGTCCTTGATAATCTTGCCCCAGTTCTTGACGAACTCGGCAGGGCAGTGTACATCGTCGGCTTCTCGCAAAGTCTTCATCGCCCGGAAGACGGCAGGCTTGCCCTTGGGCCCTATCGGGAGCGATACCGGTACGACATTCTTCCACTTGGCTAGGTTCTTCACGTCCCACTTGCCCTCACGCGAGAGGTACTGCAGCTGCCATTTCAGGGAGAAGCGACCGGTGACGTGACAGGCTAGGAAGTCGGAAATGTGATGGGCGAGAACCCGAGCGGTCGAGGGCATGAACAGTACAGCGTGATTGGCAGGCGCCGGGATGATGATTGACTTGACCACCTTGGTGGGATGTCGAGGCTGAGGCGGAAGGTTTGCAGGAGAAGATTCATCTGGCGTAGAGGGGTCCTCAGTCGTGTCTGCACCTTCATCCAGTCGTCTGTCTCGCTGGAAGTCCTCATCTCGGATGTCGTCGATGCTCTCAGGCACATGATCGGTGACGTTTTGGGAGGTGTTGACTGGCGCAGCAGAGTCGACGACGGTCTCATGGCCATCTTCCGAACCCGTCTCTGGTGACAGCGGTGCCTTGGTTTGAAGATACTCCTCGATCTTGCCGACTTCACCAGGAGGGGTTAGTTTGTCTGCCTCCCCGCCAACAAGGTATACGGGTACGTCAACGCCGGCCCATACGTCCTTTCCGGGCACGCCACCCCTGGCAACGCCATTCTTGAACGTGGGTAAAGACCCCCAAGCCATACGGCGCCATACCGGTGTGCGACTCTGGTTGTTAAACCGGTCTTGCAGCTTGCGCAGCTCGAGGTCTGCTCCCGGTCCGACAAACCGGCTCACGCTGGCACTCTGCGGTCCTCCCCATCGGTCATAGGCCCTCCACAGATCGAAAAGCCAGCCGGGAACCCACAAAAGTTTGCGGAACAGCGCCGTCTTGTCAGCTGGTGGAGGTCCAGAGACGGGGCAAATCGCTACGAGTCCCACGATGTGTGTTCTTAAATCTGTTCGGTGCGTAGTGTTGCGGCTAGCCAGTTGTGCACACATCGTCGTGCCCATGCTATGGCCGATGAGAACCACGTTGCGGCCAGGCTCCTTCTGGCGGTACTCGTCGATGATGACTTCCAGCAGCTCGGCCAGTGCTTCCGGACTGTAGGCATCCCATGACGTCTGTGCAAATTTGGATCGCCCACATCCGGGCAGGTCGATGGCCAGACATGATGAGATGTGGACAAGGCTGGTCAGCAGCGGGTGAAATTGTGCCACCGAGCCTCCCAGCCCGTGAATGAAGACGAGCAAGGGGATGGGTGGCTTGGGCAGCTGGTCTGCCTGTTGATGCCGTTTGTAAAATATGCGGATATCAGCATAGGTGTAGCGATCTGTCGTGAATGTGCGTATCTCTGAATTCTGTTTCAACAAATCCGGATCCGTGGACTCGGGGTCGTGGGGGTTGGTCCACCATCCGCCGCGGGCCTGTTGTTGGTCTCCCATGTTGACCGAGGGTATGTGGGTTGTCGTTCCGGGATCCAGACGCGTCTTGGCCACCGGCACCGAAAGGGTTGCAAATACAACGGTAAGAAGAGGAATAATAAGCCTGGTCTGACAAGACAGAAGCCGGAATAAAGCGCGGGTATCTCCAAAATGTAGTGCGCTGCAAGGAAAAATGGCGATCTTTGTGTGTGTCGTTCCAGGAGGGTATGACAGCCCGACGATCTCTCAACCTTTCGCTACTTGGGGGGAGGGAGGTAAACAAAATGGAGTGAGTGTGGGCGAGATAGACCGAGATAACGATGAGATCTGGTCACACGGAATGTGACTCAAAATCGGGTAGCCGCTGTGAAGTAAGGACCCAGTTCCAGTTTCCTCTTCCGCGGGTATTCCACCGTCGCACCTGCTGTGTGCAACTGGGCGCGAGGCCCAGAGCACTGCAGGGAGGAAAGAGCAAAGGCGGCTTCCTTTTAATCAGACCGCAGGTGAGTTGGGCAAGGTAGCGTCGAGACCTGAGGGGATCGACTGAGACGGAGGCAGGCCAGAACGTGGTCGGGGCAGGCCGTTTCTAAGGCAGGAGATGCGCCACCAGCTGCTCCGTACAAATACCGCTGCGATGGGAAGAAACTGGGGAAAGTAAGAGATAAGATGCTCCCAGGTAGGTACGCAAGAAAAGCGAGCCTCACAGAAGGCACCACTCAGGCGGGCAGCGGGCAGCGGGCAGCGAGAGTACTTTCAGTGGGGAGCAAGGCACCAAACTTTTGTCTTTGGGCAATTTATGTCATTGCCCATTGTCAGCCAACAGTTCGTCATGTCTCCTCCACCTGGGCCCGGGGAAACGCTGCCATTGGTTTCCTTGTCTCTGGAATTTTTGGCCAATTGGAGCTTCGCTGCGAATCAGCGCCCGCGCTGGGGCCTGGCAAGGCTGATTACGTACGCGATCGAGAAGAAGCTGGGAAAATTGTACATGAGAATTATGTAAATTGTGATTTTAATATTACACTTTGGTCTATGATATGAGCCATTGCAGAGTCTTTGCGTCTTGTGATCTCTTGCCAGTGGTGGCTGGCTTTGTGCAAGAAGACAGGTGGTGGTACATCGTTCAGCGAGAACCTTGAGAGTGATCTCGCTAGGAATTTGCATGGCGGGGTAGCGACGAGCAGTGAGGTTTGTGGACGTGGCCGGCCCCGGGTATCCCACATCATTCAGGAAGCTAGATTTCGATGCTCTATGCAGTCCCCATCTGATGGAGGTTCATCGTGAGTCTGCCGTCTTGAATGCTTCTCTCCGTCCACGTGCGCACTCTGGCGAGGAGCCTATCCTCAACCCGAGTCAGGGCGGTCCATATGGTCTCCCCATCGTGAGCACGTCACGCAGCGCCCTTGCCCTCGACCCATCCGATGGGAATCAGGGCACCCGCAACTTCATCGACGCCCCTCTCCGTAGCAAGCAGATTGAACTGCGATGCCGCATTTCCCGTGTCAAGCACGTCCACGCGGATTCCGAGCGAGCTGAGGTGCTTTTTCGTGGACGGAGCTAGCGGAACGATCTTGGGGCCGACGCCGAGAATAAGAAGATCTGCAAAGAGCCACGTCAGAATAGTGTTCAATTATCGTAGACATCGCCAAAAGGGGGACGAACCAGGTCGAGGCCAAACCAGCTCCAGCACGCCAAACGCCTCTGGGGGAATCTCGAATTGGCCCTTGGCATTAATCAAGTTCATCGTGCCCTTGGCCTCCCACGGCCGCCACTCGAATGCCTCGCCGCCGATAAGCAGGGCAGCGTTTCCATCCAGAATCTTGAGGCCACTGTTCAGGGAGAAGCCGTCCGACATGCAGACATCGATTGATGTTGACGGAGTCGGCGTGTTGCCCAAGACGTCGAGCTCGCTGAAGTCGGTACCACCTTCATACTCGTTCGTCTTGTTCTTTTTTAACCTTGGCGGCGCCGTATGGAATTGACTGCGTAGGCATGCGATTTGCGAAGGAGCTGCTGAGGGTCGCAAAGGCGTCGAGACTCGGGGGAGCGATCGGGGAATCGTGCGCTGGGCGCGCACGAATGCGCGGAGCACGCGAGTGCTTGCGGGAGAATACATGAATACGGGCCGGATACTTGTGTCGAATGAGTGAACGGATGCTGCGGGTAGGAACGAGAAGCTTGCGTCGGGGTGGTTGGAGTTGTTTGACGGAAGAGTTGGGTACAAGCAGGAATTTTCCCGCAGAGCTACTTCAGTATCTTGAACGTCATGATTACAAGGTTGAGCTACCAAAAAAAACCACCAGTCGTGATGGCGGGGAACCACATCAAAAACAGTCACGCGAAAGTAGCAGTGTCACGCATCATATACCGTGGAGTTCAGAGCGCGACGGCGCCAAAAGTTCAATTCGCTGTCATAATTCCGATACTGGGGGATAAACCACTTTTGTTCTTTTGGGCGCCTCGACTCGATTGAAAACCGCGGGGTCGTCACTCAGAAAGCAACAGAAAATATGAGATCCCACGTTTGACAACCAAACAAAATTTTTGAAAGGGCTCGATTTCCGTTTTCATTCAGGTATCGAGGCCTAAGAGTGCCCTAACGCACAGCAGCAGACGAACCGTCATCAATCCGCCTGTGGCCGACGATTCTTGTGTATCATGCAGTTCCTTTTGCCCTTATTGAACACCTAAGCAATGAACCAACCCCCTAAAATTTCCCATTCCGGCCAGCTTTGGTTTTTTGACGTGTGACGCAAGAAAGAATGAGACGTTTATTTCTTCTTCTCGGACTGGCTCTGCTCCTTGAGCACCTTCTTGACGATCTTCTGCTCCTCGATCAGGAAAGCGCGGACGATGCGGTCACGAACGCAGTTGCCGCATCTGGAGCCGCCGTAGGCACGCTGGACGGTCTTCTTGGGCTTGGAGATCTGGGCGTACTCGCGAGGGCGGAGGGCGGGGACCTGTGGCGGGACAATTAGCATTATCCTCGCGTTTGTATGAAACCGTGCTGAAGTTCGGCATCGTGAGAGTCCGATCATCTGAGAGCGCCGCTGATTTCGTTCCTCCTGCTCGTCCTTGATCCGAGGATGATTGCAAGCCCTTGCTGATGACGACCACCCTTCCTCCATGTCCTCCTACAACAGTCCAATGCACTCCCAGATGATGGTCTCTCGAGTCTCGCTTCGGCCGTGGTGTTTGGATCGAACTTACGCCGGGCAGCTTGACGCCGCAGTCACCGCACTTGGGGGCAGTGCCGCGCTTCTTGATGTGAAGGATACGGAGCTCACCACCGGGGGTCTTGACGATACGAGTCCGGTTGGAGGTGGTGTTGTAGCTGCAAATTTTCCCCAGTCAGTCTTGTCGATTTTTCTCGACCTGCACGGCGTGCACGCCGATGCGAAAACAAACGCCGTCTCTCGAAAAATTCGATCGCGACATTTCGATTCGGAGTGGGAAGAGACTCACCCGTTACGGCGGCGGTAGGTGACACGGGCTCCGGCCATTTTGACTGATTGATGGTGCTGCGGACGTTAGTTGAGCAGAAGTCGTGAATCGCAAGCTGGAGAATTATTTTGTCTGGTCGAAATTTGTGGTTGTGAATTGATGGTGGGGCGTTCCAGCCCTCTACTGCGTACTAAGCGGCAGGTACGATCGAACCTGGCAACAAATGGCGGCAGGTGGCATGCCTGCCCCTTCAGTCCATCACGTCACGTGGCTCTCAATCAGTCCCCATGCTGCGACCCTTCAGTGTCTCTCTGGAGACGTTCATTGTGAGCGTCAACGATGGCTCAATGATATGTTCACAGTGACTTATGACCCAACAGGTTTAATCATCAGACAGCCTTATCTTACTGTGCTAGAGTGACTACTTCTCTTGCGGTCGCTTACTCTGTCTCACCGTCGTCGTCGTCGTTTTCGTCTTTGCTACTGTCGTTGTCGTTATCGTTTTCGCTTTCAATGAGAGTAACTAAGTACCAAGGGAAAGTGTAGCACAGGAAACATATGCGGTCTCTCAAACATCATCTTCTCAAGGGTTCTAGCACTTGTTCTGAAGGAAAACTGACGGGAGGCAAAGGCTGTTTTATTTTGTCTCGACTGATACTGAGCGCTTCAAAGCAACGCCGCATAAACATATCCCTTTTCCCTCGAAACCCCCTACGCCATGCGCAATAATTCAAATCAGGTTATGCCAAACTATGACGACTCTGGCTCTAATGTTGTCCAGTCGGGGTGCTCAGTTGCGCGCCAGGGTTTGACGCCATTGGGCTCTTCTCTTCGTCTTTGAGAGGCATGATTCATGATCTTGGTCATCTCCTCGCTCTTTCGAAGATCTTGGAAGTCGTGCACCTCCTTTCTGGCCGCCTCTACTGACTTGATGAAACTGGCGAACTTGTCCTTGGCTGGCGGTAAACGTTAGCTGACGAAATTGGAAAATGCTCATGGCCGTGGATGTGCAGCACATACGAGTTGGTTGATGCGCGGACAAAGGGTCCATCATCCGTGGGATCGTGGTGCGCAAACCTCGCAGCTGTGAGAGGGGTCAGTTCGACTGAAGTCGGGCAGGACTGCAGGGGACACCGACCTGGGTGTGCAACAGCTTCAGCTGGTTCAATGACTGCTCTAGGCGTTCTTCATCCCACGCCTCATTGCCAGGCTCGGACTTGATGGCTGGGTTGTTGTTTGCCATGGTGATGCGGGTTAAGACGTCGCCCTTGGAGATGGAAACCCTGAAAGGCCGGCTCGGTAATTGTTTCCCCAAGGGGGAGATTGACGTTGAATCCGGGACGAATCGATATGTCGAGCGCCGCGGACCGAGGTTGCTTTGAGAGCCTGGCCCAGAGGGTGGATGCAGCGATGGATGTAGGTAAAGATGCAGAGTCGGGCACACTGGCAGTCCAGGTGTAATGTATGGCGCAAAATTGTTTGCGCGCCGCCTCAAATCCAAAGTGCAAGTGCAAACGTACCACCTTTCATGCAAGTAGCCACTTGGGGTCCAAAGCAGGCACTGCGCCGGCAGGCAAGTCAGAGATTTGTTGGTGGTTTAGGTGAGCCAGCTTGGAAGCGTTGGTGTTTCCGATGCGCGGCGCGGTGCGGTGACAGTGAGAGCTCACGACGGGAATTAGCGTAGGGGCCAGAAGCCGCTCCAAGCCAGGGACCGTGGAAAGGACGCTGAATGTGGTCACCGGCGACACGTCAATCTGGAAGGTGGTTGGCGCGGGCCACAGATGGCCCCACTTCATGCCGTCTGGTGCAGCGTCAAGGTCGCTGTGCCTCGAGCAAGTGAAGGGCGGTACTTGTTGGGTCACGTGAGCTGCGAGTCCAGCAAGGAGGTAAACTGTCAAAGAAAAAGAGAGAAGCGGTAACAACGGGAGGAAACAAAACAAAAGAGACTTCAGCTGCAACATCAGTATCGCTCTCGCCCCCATCAACTTCATCAGACCACTGCAGGACACGAAGTGCATCCGAACGAATTGCGCATCTCTCCGGTCGAGGAAAGTGCAGCATCGTCGTACAGAAGCAGCAGGGAACATTGGTACCTAAAAGGTACGCTGCCGCGCCAAGGGGTGCAGGCCTGCAGCTGGGATCCTGGAAGCTGACACTCGCTAAAAGCTAGCCGGAAGGCGGATTAACTGCGAACCTAGTTCAGACCGTGCGGATTGGAATTCTCTGACTCCAACCTCTCCGTGTTCCTACCTTTCCGTCACGAACCCAGCTACTTACCAACTGTGGAAAGCTGCATCTGAGCTAAACCAACAAAACCTTGACGCCCGCACTTCGTTTTCTCTTCACTTCAGCAGAGCTTCATCATTCCTTTTTCGACGCGTCCTTTTCTCTCCGGACTCGTCGCCAGATACACTTTTTCCCCACCTTCCCTTCACATCCGCCAAGCTGGACTCTTCCGCCATCATGTCGAATGCGCCCCCGCCGGCGCTTTTACCTCCGCCCGAGGGTATATTCCGCTCCTTCGAAGATCTTCTGAGCTCCGTCCAGCGCGTCGCCAAAGACCAGGGCTACGGTGTCGTCAAGCTCCGCGCCTCCAACTACCGCGATGGCAAGCCCACTCGCTACGACTTGGTATGCGACCGCGGCGGCGTCAAGTACAGCAGCACTGCAAAGAAGCGCAACCCCTCCACGCGCAAGGTCGACTGTCCCTGGCGCGCCAAGGCCGTCTGCGAAGTTCAACTCGGCAACCAGTGGCGTTTCGCCGTCCAGGAGGGTAGCCACAACCATGAGCCTCGCGTCGCGACCGCCCCTCCCGGCCAGGAAAACACGCCGCTGGCCCAATCCATGCGGTCCTTTACTAACAAGATCGACCGCATGAGCCACGACATGGCCCAGGGCTTCATGCGGATAGAGCAAGCCCTCGACCAGATGAACAAGCGCTTGGAAAACCTCGAGAACCGCGCCGGAGGATACGAGCCCCGCTTCCAGAACATGGAGTCGCGACTACAAGGTGTGGAGGCCCGTGGCAGCATGGAGCTCCCTATGGATGATGTCGATGCCCGACTTCTGTCAACCTCGGTCATGTAGGAAAACGGCCAAGTCGACATGTCGGGCATGGGAGCTCTGTCGGGCGCGAATGCGCACGGCGGATACGCGACGGACAACCACGCTGGTTTGTCCTAGAGCACTCCTATGTTAGTCGACCCGAGGCCATTTACATCGATATCCACGCGTCACACGGAACCAAGACAAGGAAGCAAAATGACTAGACGATTCAGGGTCACATTTCTCTCGAGGATGAGACTTCAGGCAGGGAGCCAGACCTAGGGCTGGATGGGCAGGCATGTCATGTTATCAGGGCGTTGAAGGGAGGCTTGGGCGTTTGGGACTCATCATCTGTTTTTTCACCTCTTTCCAGCCACATGGCGATATCAGTCCCGGTTTGGGCTGGGATTGATCCGTTTCGAGGTCATGTTATTATACGAAAATTTCTTGCGCAAGGCGGGGGTCGGCTTTTTGCGATTTGGCAAGACGAGAGCAGCAGCAGCAGACAATGGGGTTCATTGTAGCAAGAGAGGCGCCCAGAGGCGTATCATCGGTAGAGCGCGACTGCAATACCAACCAGTACATGTCCACAGTTCTTTCCCATTGCTTGGTGAATGCGTTGACTCGCGGAAGGTGAGGTGACATTCGAGGCAGCTGAGCCGGGTGCCGAAGCATGACGTAACAGGAGACAGCTTAAACATTGCGATTGCCCTTTCTTTGCGGACCTGGCCGTTGCAACTCTCACCTCAACCGGTCGAACGTCGCCATTCCGCCACGGATCCAGAGGCATTGTCTCGTCGTCTGCTCCCAACAACGACCGTGAGACACACGTCCGCTCTGGCTTACACGGATTGCATATCGGAGACCAGTCCGCGGCACAGTATCAACTGACACCCCGGATTCCAACTTCGCACGTCCGCAAGGCGCACACTGTGAAGGAGTTGGCCAGCTTCCCACACACCCGAACAAACCCCTCCTTGACAAGCTCCGGTTGGTTTCCTTCTTGGTAAGGTAGCAAACAATGTTCCCAATAGAGAAAATGCACGCCGGGTAGAAGAACGCCACGCGCGAGATTAGCAGGCAGGTAGCCTGACCTGATCGCTCGGAAGCCCCTCCGCCCCCGCGCGCCCTCTCCGGTTTTCTTTTCGGTGCCCTTTCAACGGGTTTCTTTTCACGACTGGCCACCCCAACTTGCGAAACCCATCCCAGCATCCCAACGGACCCCGGTCCTGCATATCCAAAGCTCCAGACCACGCCCTGTCTGCACCACCACCACCACCACCACCACCTACGCAACCGCGCGCAACCACTCTGTGTAGGACTCATTTCGGTCTTCAGGCCCGGGAGCGTTGGACAACCCAGGATGTCGCGCAGGTTTGTGCGTTCATCCGAAGAATTCGTCGCCTTACCTGCACTTTCCGGTCAACATTTCGAGGCCGAGAACCAGCCCAAGTCCCTCAATCGCAGGCGCAGCAGTCACATCGCACGGCGTAATGCGTGACAGCCTATCAACAGCTGGGAACCCGCCCTTCGAATTTGAGGGTTTTCGGCGACAATGCATCGCTCGTAAGGGCGCCTGCATTAACTCTACCCGCCGAGCCCAGTCCCAGCCGGCTCAGACTGATGGACAGCAGCAAACTCCTACCAACCAGCTCCGACGGACATGTCTCGAATATCCAAACGAAACCTCGTCATGTTTGCCTGCCCGCCTGTGCTGTCCTTATTCAGACCACCCGCTTTTCCCGGTTATTACGAATCCATCGGGTCGGTACCCAGTGAGGACAAAGCCGTTGGCTGCTTCGTCCTGTTTTCCCCATGCACATGATCAAAGCGCACATTCGGGGACCATCAGGGATGCTCGGGACTCGCTAACTACTTTGCATCACGGCAATGGGACGTGTGTATCTACGGCCACTGTCGGAGCCGGCGACTCGGGGTCGTGGTGGAGCACCATGTCACGAGCAGGCAGCTGGATTCACCAACACGTTTGCCCCCTCCTGGTCCCGAGATATGCATTGTCGTCGTCGATGCCGTCGTCTTCAAGGGTGTGGGTTGGTTGCGAGCGGCCCTCGAACTTCATCGAACAGAGAACGCATCCCGCCGAGGCGGCGGCGGTGCCCGGGGCCGGTTTGTCACAGGTGATTGACAGCGGAAAACCCGAGCCTTATTTCCCCCCAACGTAACCGGCCGTAAAACCAACCAACCGCTCTTTGGGATTGTCTCTATAAATCCCAAAAAGGACATTGCTCTCCCCATCCCCCTCACCTCCTGCAATGACCTCCTGGTACAGTCACACACCAGCAGGAATACTCAGCTCGAAAGCAACCCAGTCTGCAAGCGACGTTTACCGCCGACAAATGTCCGTCTAAGCCTTCCAATAAGGATACTCGAAAGGTTCGCAGTCGGAAGGCAGCAGCCTCTGCTCACTTCTAGAACCGGTGTTTCGACGCATATCCATGGAACGATTCCTTGTTCACAATCTGCTACTTATCGTGGAAGCCGCCATGCGGCCCCAAAGGATCCAAGCTTCTAGCATGTTTGCCTGCTCGACCAGGGGTTCTTCCCTCGTCGGGCAGCAAACACTGTTTCCTCTTTTCCCATCCCTCCCTCTTCGTCGATCCCTTCAGCCACCAGGTAGACGCACACCCAAGGTGGTATCCATCTCGCGTCTAGCCCTCGCCTGTCGAGCTGGGCGTGCGCAAACCGAGAGGCACAAGTCAGGCAAGCCCCTGTACAACGACTGTCGCCTGCGCGTCCAACGAAATCGGGAGAATCCTAGCACCGTCATATCACATCGCTTTGTGAGGGTCAATACGCGAGGCCCCCCGCGGTACCCAACTATACAAGCAGGGCCTGAACAAGGGCAGAAGGATGAAGCGCATGAAGAGCCAACGCCAAGGTTTGTTCCCGTTTCTATGAGGCTGAATGCGGGAAAAGTGCGGGAAAGGCATGGGCCTCAGGTGAGGCAAGTCAAAACGGCAATTGCACATGGGCCAACTCGCAAATCTGGGGGCCGACGAGTCGAAATCCGCGTCTTTTGTCTCTGGCATATCTCCTCACGACACAGGATGTGTTCGAAGAATGACCTGTGGACCTTGGTAACCGGCAGCTTGCTCTCTTTTTAATTCTTACCGCCCCGGTGAAACATGACCTGCCACCTACGCACCTCGGACTCTGCACCCAACGCGAACGGTCAACGACGAATTTACCACAAACATGTTGGCCCCAACGAAGAGCGATCACCGCCAGGCATACGAAACCATGGTTCGGAAACGTGTTTCCATTCAATGATGTTCACACAATGCTTCTAGCTGTCGTTTGCTGCTATGATTAGAAATGGTCCAGCGTACGTACTTGTCCCTCCAGCCTTCCCCCCTATGCAATGAAAGAATTCACAGACGCTCGTAAACTCCAGAATATGCCGAATATGCCCCCAGACAACAACCAATGACTCATATCACATGTAGGCTTACAAGAGGTGGGCGTACTCCTGCTCCTGGCTCCAGCTGCCGGGGTCCTCGGCAGGCAGCTGCTGCATGCTCATGGCACCCAACTGCTTGATGTTCATCTTCTCCCGCAGCTCGTCCGTGATCTTGTCGACGTCGACGTTGAGGTAGCTGCGCAGGAACTTGCCGACGTCGGTGTTCTCGATGTTGCCGCGGATCTGCATCGCCTCCTCGCCGCCCGTGCTGTACACGTTGACGTCGAGCGCCGTGTGGCCGTGCGTGCTCCAGCCGATGTGCGCGCGCAGGCTGATCATGGCGGCGAAGGTCTGCACCGACACGCCCGGGTCGTTGACCAGCGCGTCGAGCTCCTCCGGGTGGGCGTTCTCGATGCCGAGGCCGGGGATGACGAGCTCCTGGTTGACCCACTTCTTGAGGTCGTCCTTGCTCTTGGCCTTGTTGTTCGCGACGTGCTGGATGAACTTCTTGGAGAGCAGCTCGGCGGAGGCGGTGGCCTTGGCGAGCTGGCGGGGGTACCAGTTGTACACGGGTAGGTGCCCGGGCTCCTGGAGGGCCGTCGCGAGGCCGCCGGTTTCGTGGTCACTCGTGGCTACCAGCAGAGACTCGGTCTTGCTGTTCTTGACAAAGTCTGAGACGTGCTTAAAGGCCTTGTCGTACTCGAGGACCTCGTGGACCTGGGCGGCGGGGTCGTTGATGTGGCCGGCGTGGTCGATTCTGCTGCCCTCGATCATGAGGAAGAAGCCATGGTCGCTGTTCTCCGTCGCCTTCTCGAGCGCGCGCAGGGCAGTGGTGGCCATCTCGCTCAGACTGGGGTAGACGTCGCTCATGTTGCGGCGGTCGAGCTCGAAAGGGATGTCGCCGGGCGCGAAGAGGCCGAGTTGAGGGAAGCTGACCTTCTCGCCGAGCTGGAGCGCGTCAAAGGCCTTGCGGTCGCCGGCGTAGCTCCAGCCAAACTCGTCCTGCGCCTTGGCGACAACGTCCTCGCTGTCCAGTCTGCAGCTACCTTCGGTACCGTTGGGGAGAAAGTGGCAGCGTCCGCCGCCGAGCATGATGTCCACAACCCGGCCCAAGGGACCGGCGCCGACCTCCTGCAGGGCAATGTCGTCGTTCATGGCGCGGGTCAGGACGTGGCTAGCGAAGCAGGCGGGGGTAGCGTCGGTGATGTCGGTGGTGACCACGAGGCCGGTCATGAAGCCGGCGCGCTTGGCGGCCTCGAGGACCGTTCCGCAGGGCTCATAGTCGGGCAGGACCGAGATGGCGCCGTTGTAGCTCTTCTTGCCGCAGGAGAAGGCAGTGGCGCCGGCAGCGCTGTCGGTCACGAGAGAGTTGGAGGAGCGAGTGCGGCTGGAGCCCCAGAAGTGCTTGTCGAGGGTGAGGACATCGTCTTCGGGCAGGCCGTTGATGTGCTGGCGGAAACTGCGCGTGAGGGAGAGCGAGGCGGGGCCCATGCCGTCCGAGACCATGAAGATGAGGTTGCGCTTGGTGGGGTGGCGGAACTGGCCGCCGCCGGTCTGGTGGCGGTGCTGCGCCCAGACGGCGAGGACGATGACGGCGGCGGTGGCGACGAGGGCCCAGATG